TCCTGCTGGTTGAACATACAGAGGACACCTAGAAAAAACGACAGGAAATGGGACACAAGAGCTTTGGCAGCTAACTTGATCCATTTTGAAGTCATTGCTAGCACTCTGAAGTGCTTTCACAGCACACCAAGTACCTAACAAAGCCAACACTTGAGGTTTTCAGCCCAGTGCCAACTGAAGCTCCCACACTGATTCATGTGTGCATCAGTCTCACAGCCCTACAGAACAGGGAACACTTACCTGTATGAGTGCAAAGGAACGTGAAATTCCTCTTCTGGCCTGGATATGCCAATCTGCTCCAGAACCTTGGAGCCTCTAGGCAGCTTATAGATCCGCAACGGGATTGAGAAATGGTTCTTGATCTAGAATCAAAAGACAGAATTTTCATTACGTTCCTATGGTACAAATTTCTAAAGACAAAAGTACGAATAACAACGAGGAAAAAACCACTTAAGTAGATTGAATTAAACTCCTCTAAAAACAGACTTTGTGCGTGTTATTAAGAAATACAGCTCTGAAGGAGACAATGTACAAGCACATGAGAAATCTGTTACTTCTAAGTTGCATGAATTGAAAAACACACTAACATTCCAAGTCATGCAAAATCCTCAATACTGAGGATATTAGAAAGCCAAAAGGAAAAACCGTATTTTTCATTTAGCAGCAAGACACACACACAGAGAATACAGATCAAAACTCAGGTAACAGAGCAAAATTCTCAATCATTTGACTTTAAGTAACTTTATAGAAAAGTAACAGCTCAAAACAAAAATGCACCAAGGAAGGAAAGGCATGTGAGTGACTGCAGAGCACTGCCTTGAGGCTTTGGGCTCTCTGGTGGGCAGTTTACCTGCAGAGGGGATCGCACAGTGATGACCTTATTTCCTTCTGCAGCATCTATCTGGACAAGCACCGAGTCCGAGTGGCCAGCGACGTCTCGCACGTTGTACAGGCGCCGACCTGGCTTCGCTATGGGAATGCTGAATGCTCCTCTGTAGCCTTGAAGCTCTACAGCCACAAAAAGATGCACACACCTCAATTAGACAAAACAAACCATACCAGTATTTCCTACTTGAACAGCAGTTAAGCTTCTCTAAACTCAGCAACAACCAGGATCAGAACTCTCTGGCAAAAGGACCTTAAGTGCCATTTGAGTAGCACTGAGGGAAAGCTCCAAGGTCCAAATACTCCTCAAGGCCATAACTTTAGATTATGATTTATACACAGCACAGGAAATAGCCCAAGGAGTAAACAAAGGTATTTGTTGGGTGAGTTAATGAACTGCAACCCAGAACACAATCTTTGTGTCATGGAGCCAAGTACTTTCACATAGGATGGGATGGAAAGGAAATCTGAGATGATTAGGTATTAATAGCTATTGCATCCTGTTATCTCAGGAGTATGGTCTGGCAAAGCTAAAAACACAGAAACACCATAACTGCTCTCAAGCAGCTGAGTAACCACAGCAGGGATAGCAGAAATGCAGCTCCTGTTTAACAGGAGCTGAGCACACAGGCCTGTGTCACAGGGCTCTCTCAGATGGTCTGTCAGAGACTCCACTGCAATGTTTTCCATTTCTTCTAAAGGGGAAGAAAAATTATTGTCTTTTTCACTCTCTGACAAACTGGAGAGAAGGAATTTCACATCTTTTTTCATCAGCCCATTAGCTGTTTCAGGCTTGTTTTTTTAACTGGCATCAGTATTCAGAAATAGTTCCAACACAATGTACTTGACCTAAACTTCCATCCAGTGGGATTTACCCCTGTTGACTCCCCCATCTCCCCACGCCCAACACATCCTAACAATCAGTGCTCCTTTGACAAACTGGAGAGAAGGAATTTCACATCTTTTTTCATCAGCCCATTAGCTGTTTCAGGCTTGTTTTTTTAACTGGCATCAGTATTCAGAAATAGTTCCAACACAATGTACTTGACCTAAACTTCCATCCAGTGGGATTTACCCCTGTTGACTCCCCCATCTCCCCACGCCCAACACATCCTAACAATCAGTGCTCCTTAGCCTAACACCTAAATTCAAGGAGAAGACAGAGCCTAATACCTAAAGGAGAAGACAGGACAGAGCCTAATACCTAAATTCAAGGAGAAGACAGAGCCTAATACCTAAATTCAAGGAGAAGACAGAGCCTAATACCTAAATTCAAGGAGAAGACAGAGCCTAATACCTAAATTCAAGGAGAAGACAGAGCCTAATACCTAAATTCAAGGAGAAGACAGAGCCTAATACCTAAATTCAAGGAGAAGACAGAGCCTAATACCTAAATTCAAGGAGAAGACAGAGCTTTCTTGGCGGTGCAGCGCAGACAACCTTCCTCGCTGGGGGGCTTCGAGCACAGAATATTCCAGTTCCATGCTCTGCCCCACTTGTACATCATTCCCATGTTCTTTTCCAAGTGAACCAACTATCCGGAAACTGGAGCTGGGAAGCACTTTGAGGGGAACACCCAGGGCATTTTTCACCACGAACGGTGCTGTCTCTTTGAAGGTATAGTCGAACGTGGAGGCAGTCGCTTCTGAAAATGCCTGGAAGCAACCACATACACACAATGTCACACAAACAGCCACAGCAACATGTATGTAAAGGCTTTAAAACACAGTTTCCAGCAACTGCCATGTTAAAGAGGGGGGGAAATTGCACATGGCAAGAGCTATGCTTTGATGGCAGTACTCAGGGAAGTAAACGTTACTCCCAGAGTGTCATTTAACCCAGATCCACAGCAAACGTTGATGCTCCTCACAGGGAATTTTCTACAGTTCTGGGTGCTCAGAGAAACATAAGAGCTGGGACACAGAAGCCACAAGGCCAGAGAAAACGTACATGCTTCATATTCCATCAAAACTTGTGCTCACCAACACCTGATGACACAAAGCCATGGTGACTGACTCCCCATACAGACTGACAGCACTAGTGTTAAACAGAACTGCTGCTCAGTTAGTGTTAAAAAATACAGGCCCGAAACACATTCTGCCAAAATAGCTTGATTTAGCAACTGAAATTTCTTCACCCCATAAAAAAAGGAGGGAAAAGCAGCCTAAAACATTCCTAAGTACACTTACTATCACAAGAAAAACAGGTGGGAAAAGCATTGTTAACACACTTGGCATTCTGCTCCTACAGTTTGAAGGCCAATCCTAAAACTCACACTGCTCCTAGCATTGAAGTCAGGAGGACAAAAAAATGGAAAGGAAGCAAATTTCTCTTTCAATATTTCAGACAGAGGATTGTAGGAAATAGTTGTGTCTATTGGCTCATTCCATCTCCCTTTAGCCTGTGTGCATGACACTTCCTTAAGCCCTGCACAAGCACACATTGTTCTAACACAAACTCTGCTCCTTCCCAAAGCAGCACCACCTTTTTGTTAAGCCAAAAGGACTCATCTGAGCAAAACTCCTCAACCTTTCCAGGTAACATTTGTTAGAGCTGCACGACAGTCATTGGCTCTTGACTGGCAACCAATATAGTTCTTTGGAAAAAAAAAAAAAATGATCAGAACTTCCTGGAGAACCACCTAATGCAGCTCCTCCTGCCTGTTGGGACTACCTTGGCCAGGTTACTGAAGACAGCAAGGCAACATTTGGACACTGTTATATTCATTGTATCCTTTGAAGAGATGTTAATGGCAGTTTGTGGCTCAGGAAGAACAATGAAATCATCCCCAGGCATCAGACTTCTCTCCTGGACAGGGTTAGTCTTCATCTGAAAGAAAAATTTCATTAGGCAATTACAAACACAGTGTTTACTTTCCCTTATGTTAAAACAGGGACAAACTTCACCTACACTTGACAATTTCACCACACAAATAAAACCTGCTTTACCTTGTACGCATGCAAATTTTATACCAACATTGAAGGCAAATTATTTTCTTCCCTCCACGTGGTTACACACTCCATTTGGTCCATGCACTGGACAACTAACATGATTCAGAAAAGTCTTAAGATGCCTAAAGATTGGGTTTTTCTCATGTGAAGCTGCACAGCTCCCTCAGACTCAGAGCATTCAAAAGGTCAATGTCCCACCACACAGAACTTTGAAGAAATTAAGAAACATCTGTCTATTCAAACCACTTCAGGCAGATAGTTTCAGGTATGCATACAAACCTCAAGCTTTAAACTCCATCGCCTCTTCCCTCCTTCAATCTGTTCAATAAGTGGCTCCCACACTGCGTAGCTCTCGTTGTAATAAAGAACCTAAAGAAATAATTGAAATTAAGTAAGGTACCTGCAAATCAAGGACTGAGTTCCCTCCCACAGCATTTAGCACAAAAAACATTCTGCAGCAAACAATCAACCTTCATTTCACAGTCTGGAGCTCTAACATTAACTTCTAACAGCTGAAAACCTAAGACTAAGAAGTGTAATATATCATATTCTGTATCATTTTCCTAAGTGACATCATTTCTGGAGAGTTCCTTTCCTGCTTTGCTCTGAGAGCACCCAGCCACACTGTCAATGCTGACTCTTCCCAGCACCTTCAACTGGCATCACCACCTGTCTGTCCTCTCCTGCACTGTTTGAGACAAGGACTTTGAGACCAGAAGCTTCAATGCCACAAGTACTTCATCGTACCACGAAATTACAAGGAGTGTGAGCACACTACAGCCTCAATCTGCTCTACTGGAATGATTCCTCTAACCCACAGCCACCAGCAAGCCTCTAGTTCCCTGCAATCACTGAAAACCTGAACAGAAGCTATGGATTCAGCAGTTCACCTACTGCCCAGAGCAGCTGCCTCTGCCAGAGACTTACACCACCTCAGTGGTATCTCATTCTGAGTGTAACTTCTACCCTACCAAAGAACACAATGCTAGAGATACAAAAAAGTGAGCAATAAGGCCTAAATAGCAAAATTCAAGTAAGCCAAGCTCAGTGCTCACACAGCAAAACAGAGAGCACCAGATTATTCCACAGGAGCAACAGACACTAAAATCTCCCAATGACTGCAAACTTGCTGTAAAAACCCTGATGTGCTCAGTCATACCTGCCTGACTAATAAGGAACTCCTAAGAGTGTTACAGTTCAAACCTGTTATTAATTTAGCACACACAGAGCGTACTAAAAAGCCACAAAATGTGCAGAAGTGTTCTGAACTGGCAACAATTTGGCTGGACATACCTCCAGGGACATGTCAGCAGTGACCTCCATCAGTGAGGACCAGTTTTTAAGGACCCCTGCAAAGGCAGATTCCACGAGCAACAAAGGCACAGTGCGATGCCCCAGGCCACATTCCAAGGTGATCTGAACCGATTTCACCACGACATCAAACTTCTCTTGTTTCAGAATCTGTTCACAGTCCTTGAAAGTTTCTGTTGCTTCTGTGGCTACATCAACCCCAAGAAACCAGGCACTGCACTCATCTACAGGCTTCACTTGCCACAAATTCTCAGCAACTTTAGCTGCTCCTCTGGAATCCTCCTCTGTTGTTTTGGGTTTTATGGCAGCCAGAATGGTCACGACTGTGTTCAAAATTATTGGTGAGATCTTGAACAAAGAGGAAAAAAAAAATCTTTTTTTCAAATACAACATCTATGATAAATGGAAATAGCAAACATTAAAGGCAGTTATAAGAGATGCAACTCAAACTCCAAGGAACAGAATCCACTCATAGACCTCTTATTTTCCTCTCCATTCCTCCCTCACACCCCTCAGGAGCAATGTACCAGCACTGACAGTGTAAGGCTTCACCACCAACAGCCTTTTCACAGCACAAATGCCAATTGAGAACTTTTTACAAGAGAATGAAACTGATGGGGGAAATGGATATTTTAAGCAACAATATGTAAATGAAACAAAAACAACCCACCAACAAAACAAGCTACAGCCTGAAACACAGTTGTTCTTCCAAGGACAGATGTAATAAACTTACCTTAATAGTAAGTTCTTCTATTGTTGCTACCACAGTTTGCAACCCTGAGGCATGCACCATGTTTTCCATGACCAAGGAACAAGGCCATAACACCTGAGTGAAAAAATGTCATTATTAAGGTGCTCCTGGAATCTAACCTTTCAAAAGGTCTCGGTTTTTTTACTCCCATAGGCCCAAGAGATGCTGATCCCACAAAGTAACGTGCTGAAGAGTAAGAGCATTCTGTCCATACACTGGGACACACTCCAGCACCCAAATTTGCATGAGCAGTTTTGTCCTGGAAGGTTAAAACTTACTGAAATAAAAGCTTTTGACATCATGCTCAAAACAAACCCAAACCCCAATGCACAGACAGACTCAGAGCGTAGTCAAGCAAAACCCTGAATCCTTAGGAAAACTAAATGCACAAATGAGAGGCAGCACACATGGGATGGAGCACACAGGCTCAGTGCCCCCTGGCAGCAAGGGGGAGATGAACTTCTGCAGACTGGGACCACAGGTTTTAGAGAGAGCTCCATCAGAGCAAGGACTGCACCTCCTGATACAAGGCTCACCTTTGAATGGCATTCAGCAGATGCACAGTCCCTTCCTAACCCCTGAGGAATCATCACTGCTACCACAATCGAGGCCTTTGAGTGCTGTGGCTGTGCCAGCCAAAGGGCAGTCCTGCCAGCAGCTCTTGCTGCTGTTTGCACTATGAAAATCTGCTTTTCTTACCGTAGTAACATTCCTGTCCTGTTTTTCTTTGAGAAAGGCACAGGCCAACACTCTGAAGCTCTTCACTTGAGCAGTCATCCTTTGGGCAAGCTTTCCAGAGGTCAGAGAAAAGTCACATTGGAAGGAAACTTTTAAGGCAGGGGCATCAGCATTGGTCAAATTAGCTACAAACACAATTTCTGGATCCATAATCACAGCCTTCACTGTCATATTTGGCCGTACAGATATTTCTGAGAAAAGAAGTAAAAAACCCCTTGAATATAAAAGGTTTGACAGTATTTTCATGCACATAACACTTAAACCATGCCTAAAAATTGCCACCCAACTACAGAGGTACGAATTTAACAAACAATGTCTCCGTTTGTACAGGAATTCTTGGCTGAAACTGAGT